TATTTCATAAGTGTTTCTATTGGCTATGAAATTTATGGTTTCCTTACAGAAATTCCTATTTCTAATGTAGAATTAATAAAGACAACTTATATGTAAATAAAATTTTTCTAGTTTAACTTGAGGACTATACTTTATTTCCCCCAAATGAAACTGGCTGTCTCTATCATTTCAACGTTATTAGTGCCTTCTAAAAGGTCCAAAACTATAAAAACCACAGTAGTCTCAAAAATGTAAATAAATAACTGGAAAGTATTTTAATCTCCATTTTCTTCTCATTTTTGAGGTGAAATCTCTCTGTGCATTCCTATAGTCGGGAAGGCCTACCACCTCAGCCTCCCAAGCAGCTGAGAGCGCAGCTGCACTCTACCTGCCATCTCCACCTCATCTTATAATTAAAATTCATGGTTATTGATAGGAAAGTACTTATGGTGAACTTTTTCAAAGTTATATAAGGATTTCAGAGCCATTCGGGTTTAATCAAAGACTTAAATAAGTCAAAAGTTTAAGGGACCCTTTGGAAAGGCTTGATCCTCACAGCTTATCTTGCACACTAAAGATATGAAATCAAAGGAGGTAAAATCACTTTACCAAGGTCAAAGACCTAATATGTGGCAGACAAAATATTCCATGTACTTTTAAAAAATGTAATTCATGCTGGGCCTGATGGTGTTCACATTTAAACCCAGCACTCAGGAGGCAGAGGCAGGCAGATGTCTCTGAGATCAAGGCCAGCCTGGTCTACATAGAGAGTTTCAGACCAGCTGGGGTTACCAAGAGATCCTGTCTCACACAAAACAAAACAAATGTAATTTACAGTTTAAGAATATTAGCTATCACTTCACTTTTTTTTTTTTAAGAGGATAAGAGATAAATATGAATGACCACGGCCCAGAAACTCAGATTCAGGTTACCCCAAATTCCATGTTCCTGCATGGTAACAGTTACATTATGTTTTTATAGTAATAGACTAAAGAAAAGTCATAAATCAAGATGCTTTTCAAACACATTGATGGATACATTCAGTAGGCAGGTCATAACAAAGCGGGGGTTTCTACTACAGGTCTCAGATGCTACCAGATGACATTCTTAGCTTCTTGATTGGTGAGACTTGGTGGTCTGCTAAGTTAATACATTTTATTAGTCACACAAAAGTAATTCAGAAACAGAGATAGGCGAGGTGTGGTTATTTATGGGATCAAAGATTTCCCCAGATAATTTGATAATAGGACCTGCAACATTCCAGACTCTCCACAATCTCTAGAGTGCTAATTAGTTAGTGAGCCTTGCAGGTAGTTCAGTCCAAGGTGCAGTTCTTTCTGGGAAATTTCTTTCACAGTCCCCCTGTGAGCCAAGCATCACATTTTATGCATGCAGGGGCCGCATATTATTTATTCCCAGGTCTTCTTAGGAAGGCTCATTCTAGAATCTGATGTAGATGAGGCTCAGTTGTAGGTGAGATAACAGTCTTCAGGAGGGAGGAATAGCTAGCTGGTGGAGCCAGTAAGAAAAAAGTGCCTGGATCCTATCAAAAGTATTAGCCAGCAGCATCCGGGTCTTACTTTTCTTTTCTTTTGTTCTCTGAATCTGACATAACATTTATGTGACATATAACAGGATGACTATACTTCAAATAACCAAGAGCATTGCTTGGCTTAATGGAGCAAATGTAACAGATTAAGGCAACGAACATTAAAATAAAAATGAGGCTATGTTTCCCCGTGTATTTACAGTTATCCCTACTCTATGAACTATTTTATTTATATTTGGAATATTTAAACAAATCTATTGTTTTCTATTTGGTTTTTCTTTGGATAACTTAGACTTTATAGCTATAATCTCATGGAGTGGCTAGCTCTAACTCTAATAGTTCTTATCTGTGGATTATGACTTCATCTGTTTTATTATATTGGCATCATATCAGATTTAGTTTGAAAAAATAGATGAAACGTTATAGAAAAAATTACACAATAATACAGTATTCTTTAAACATTTTTCTAAGAATGTCTTCATTTACATAACAAATATTAATAACATTAATAGAAACAACAGACCAAATCTGTTAGGAAGTCAGAATTTTGTAGGCCTTAAAGGCTTAACCAACTACTTTTTCAAAAAATTTTAATTTTAATGATTAGAAATGAAAACAGTACTATAGAAGGAGTCATGGTATTATTGTTAATTTCCTTAGTAAAATACAGATATTTCTTAATTGTTTTTATCCCGGCTGATTGTACTATATAGGAGACTTATATACTCATTTAATCAAGGAACATCAGTACTTAAACTATAAACTATCACAAATATGTTCTTATTGAA